TTTAGATTCACATATAATGACAGTAGGAAGATTTTTAATAGACAATGTATGTATAAGAATATTTGTTTATATTAAGTCTTGTATTCATAAGTAACCAAATTAACTTATATTTTATAACAGAATAAAAGTTTGATTGTTCTCAATGTGGATGATTTTCACAACATTCATGAATATTGCTATAGTAACACAACAACCACGTATGATGTTCAACATTTTATCACAATACTCTTAAAAGCCTTGCCAGAAAAGACATATATTCCATTTTACAATCCCAATAATCAAGAAAAAATTGTTCATAATGAAAAGGGTATTGATGCAAATATTATTGTACCAAATGCTCACTCATTTTTTTTCCCTTATTTATAGCTTAGCTATGTAGGATGGAAGCAATCATTTATGAGTTTGTTGCCTATATCAGAGACTCATAACGAAAGAGTTGAGCGTCTCTTAGTTCACAGTTACAATGACAGGATTGAATAACGTCATACCGATCGAAGCATGGAGAACACAAAACTGGTTGATTTAAAGGAAGGATTGTTTCACTCAACTAAAGACTATATAAATGCAGTTGGATATCTGTTAAATATTCCTGTAATAAAAACTTATATGGAAACGTGAATTTTAGTGATGCCTATAGATTATCCCAGACAACTTAATATATGTCGTGCCATCACTTATTGCATCAAAGTCAGAGATTCTTCTGGAATACCAGAACAAGTCTTGCATATCGTTCCAATGATTGAACTTTAACATGTATTCTTAAATAGCTGTGAAATCGTATTTCTTTTAAATTATCAGTTATTTGACAAGTTTTTTCATACAATATTTGGGCATTGGAAGATATTAGCAAAAAAGCCAAAACCTTACAAAATTAACCTTCTTCTAGAACTAGCATCTCAAGTTTGAATTCAAGTGTGTTCAATAATTCTGCAAAAGTTTGAATGGTCAAAAGATCCAGAAGCTAGATATCTTATTAATTTATTAGACAACATTATACTATTAGTTTTAGACTTTTATCCCATTATATTTCGTAGTGAAGATTGGTCAGCATATAAAGAAGCTATGTTTTGTGTATAGGCTATTTTTTATCAATACCAGCATAGACATTATAATAAGTTACTATTGGCATTTTTAAGTGATGTTTTTTATTGGACCAGTATTAATCATCCTATTTCACAAGCTCTTTCGGATTCTCTTCACATTTTTAATGATTATTATGTAGAAAATTTTCATAGTTCTCTCCAACAGCGAATACAAAAATCAAACACAGTGAATCAAATTATTCAATAAACACAAATAATCGACCAGATGCGTGGTAATAACTCTTTTACGAATGTGTTTTTCAAAGATCATAATATTAGATATTCAGTAAAACAGTTAGAATATCTTGAAAAAATGCAGTTCACTTTTTTTATTAAATTTTTTTACAGATGTATATCATAATCTTGGCAAATCAAAGGCTATTTCATCAAAATCCAAATTATATGAACTTCTAACATTAAAAGCTAAAGTTGATATTAAAATCCTGCCAATGACTTGGAATACAGCATATCCTTCTCAAGAAGATGGACATTGTGATTTGGAAAGCTGTATAGATTTAAGTAAAGTAAGTTGTATTTTGATTTGTGATCATGGTTATCATTTCGAATGTTTTTTATTTAAGTTAGTAAGTCAATGTTGACATTGTGCTGATTATCTTATAAGTGAAATTGAAAATAATTGCAAGGCCTTTCAGAAAACCTTGAATTCTTTTGTTAAAATAGTTACAGATGAGGATGTAAATGAATTGGATGTTACTAGACCTAGTGATGATACTAATATTGGCATTAAAGATTTTTCTTTGGATAATAATATTGATTTGTTTTTTGAAAAAGCTATAAATGCTTTAATAAATGCATAATTAGAGAAATGTTGTTATGAAACATAGGCGAAAAATATTAATGAAATATAAATAATTCTATAAACAAATAATAAAATTAAAATTTTATAAAATTTTCTTTATTAAATGTCTTCACTTTTAATTTAATTAATTATTTTTGATTTAATAATTAATAAATCATGTGACTTTATCAGCCAATAGAATTTTAGCAATAATAAAAAATAATCTGCAAAAATTGACCAATCACAATGAAAGTTTGCTATGCTGATCATAACGCTATCAATCTACTATAACATTATATAGCAGAAATTAATTAAAATAATAATTAGAAAGCCGTAAAGATAACTAAATTCTAGATTATAAAGACACTTGTAGATTATGACATTACATCAGATTATGACATTAGGTTATGATGCCATCACTAGATTATGACATTAGATTAAATCATTTTTATAAGATCATAACATCGCTATTAGATCATACTACTACCATTAGATTATATTTAGGGTTAGTAAAAGTCCTAATAAGTCCTAATTGGTCTTTATGAATTAAAAGATAATTTTAATTTATATACTATTAATTAAATTTTTTAATAATTATTATACTGTATATCAATTATTTTATTAATTTAAAATAAAAATATTTTTTTAAGATTATAAATATATTTAATTTAGGATCTGGTCCTAGGACCTAGGTTTTAGGTCTAAATTTTTAAAGATATTTTAAATTTTAAAATGAAATTTAAACTTATTTTAATAAGTAACTTTAATTAAAAAAATGAATATAATAATAATATTTAAAAAAATTTAATCTTTAAAACTAATAATTTTTTTAAAATTAATTAGGACCAATTAGGACCAATTAGGACTTTTACCAATCCTAATTATACCACTACTATTAGATTGTACTACTACCATTAGATTATATCAAGTCTAAGTTGCTAGAGGTTCTTTGATATAATTTTATTAAAGAACCTCTGGTGACTAAGGTATCAGAATGACTGATAATATTTGACCTATTAAAGGTAAAAATGTATTATAACAAATATCATATAAATTTAAAAAATTTCTAAGCTATTATTTATTAATTTTAAAAGCTTTAATTATAATGTTTTTCTTATTTTTACTTGAAAAGCATGTATATATACTAAGAAGATTCTTTAATTAGATATTTCTTTTTAAGTGAAGATTTATATAAATATATTTATTATTCAAAAATTATTATATTAATATTTTAATTATGATTATTCTTTAAGTAAAAGGTTTTAAGGATTTAATATTATCAAGTAATGAGTAAGCATTCTGTGTAGCAAAATTGATTGTATTTTATTGTAAATTTTTTTTTAAAGTATCATTATAATATTATCTAGATTGTTATCAATTTTAAAGGAAATGTAATTATATAATAAATATAAAGAAAGGAAAAGGTGAAAGAACATTAAAATTAAATTGAAAAATATTATTATTATGATTAAGAAAAATTTTAATAAAAGTTTATATAATTTTATCATAATTTCTCTAGTTTCATCATTTTCTATGATAATTTAGCATTTTGGCATTTTACCATAATTTTGCATAAATTTTTATAAGATTTTAATATAATTTTAATAAAGTTTCAGCATTTCAGCAGTTTTAGCAAGTGAAAAAACCCACCAATTTTTCCAGTAACCTTAATTATGATTATTATTTATATTGTAAGAAGATTAGTAGTATATTAGGGATAAAATATTATTAGTTGTATTAATCATAATTGGTATATTAGAGAAAGTAGAACATTTTATTATATTTTGATAACATCTAACATTAATTGTTTAATTTGTTTAAATATTCTATTTATTTGTATTTTTTGTTTAGTAATAATAGCTGCTTGTTCCTTAACAATAGTATTAAAATTTGATTTAAGGATTAAATATAAATGTGTGAAGAATCATTATTAGAGATCTTTGAGATTTGATGTATTTTATTAGATTAATCTTTAGATGATGTAGAAACAGAGGGAACAATAGGTTTATGGGAACTAATGATACAATTCAAAACCTATTTTACTTAAAAATTTAGAAAGTTTTTGAAACCTTAAAATAACCTTTTGTTAAATCTGAAACTTGATTAAACTTAATTGAATTTAAAAATCCTATTAGAAGTTAAGGTAAAGATATTTATTATAAACAAATAGTTAAATCTCAAATATCTCGAAACTCAAATTTCTTAAAAATAATTTAGGGAGGCATCTTTATTGGAAACAATTGAACCTTTGCCTGTATTAGAGGATTGTTGAAGAGGTAGTATGTATTTTGAGAAGAGTGTAGTGTAGGTAAGATTCCAACTTAGCGATTCTAACAACAAGGTTATTCATATTCTTCATCAAATTAGAAAGAATATCTAAAATTTGATCTGATTTTTTATTGATATCATTCGATGGATTGTGAATAGAAGCGTCAACTGTATGATTATTGTTTTTTGATAGGGCGCGTGATTGCTATCTTTTTTCTTTGTAGCATCAAAGTAAGACGAGTTGAGGATTGACTTTTGCTGACATCAACAAACTTTTTTAAAACCTGCATGTTTAACTCTATTGTAAAGTCTGTGTAAGGAATTCTATTTGGTTGTCGATTTAGGTTTCATCATCTTGGGGATCGTTTAGTTCAGAACTTAATATAGAAAACAACCCCATTATTAAGTATCATTCAGAAAATAGATCTAATGATCGTTGGATAAAATTGAAAATAAACAACTACTTTGTCCATTTAAACTAACCCATTTGAGACAAAAATGAAACATTTACTGTGCAATACTACGCATGCTGTTCAAAGACTATTAAAGTCTTTACTTTGAATTACTTATATTCCGTCTATATTGAAAAAGAGAGGCCTCATTATTTTAAACTTTTTTTTTTTAATTTTTTTAATGATATTCCTATAAACTATATTATCGTTATGATTATTAAATAATAGTTAACCAAACTATTATAATATTAAATTATCTATCCCCAAAACTATAATTACTGCCCATAATTTCTTCAAATAATATATTAAAGATTAATTATTTTACAAAATAATGATGCAAATGAGTATTAATTATGTATATATATAATTTTTAAGAATGAATGATTAAATCATAACAATTTATTTATCATCCCAGGGAAGTACCGCATCAACTTGACGCGAAACATATTTTTCTTCCTGTTCAGGTACGAACGTAACTAAAGTTAGAAACAATAAAATAAGTTGGAATTTGAATACATTATGAAATATCTGTGATCATACGATTTGTTTTGGTATTTAAATTATTTAAATTTACCTTCGGATGATGTTAACGTTTCAATTCTATCAGAAAAACAATTCTCTGAAAATAGTAAGAATATAAAATAATAATAATAATAATTAATATTATATTAATAATGAAATTCAAGTTATTACATAAGAAATTTGAATATACCGAATGAAAGCTCATCATCAAGTTGACGCGTACGGTATTCTTCTGCAAAAGATTATTATTTTATTAGTCAGGAAATATTTTTGAGAGAAAAGAAAAAAAAAATAAAATAAAAATAAAAGCGAAAATAAAAAAAATATATTTTTCCAAGGATAAATTGATTTTACCTAAACTATCGTTTGAGATGATTCCAAGTGAATCTAAAATTATAACAAAAGTGTTATTATACTTTATAACGCATTTAGTCGAAATGTTTTAAAACATAAACATACTTGTAATTTGAATTCGTCGTCCAGATGTCTGTAGAGCGTTTATTGGCTCAGGAAGGTCGTGGAAATTCAACAAACGACTTGTATAAACAGCTAACGGATGTGTTTGAGTTACAGGTCTGCTCGAAGCCGGAGTTGAAGACTGCAAATCAATACTGTCTGCATTTATAAATGATTTAGTTACCACGTTATCGTCACCATCTTTCAAATTCCAATACCACTTATGCAAAATTTGATATATTTCATGAACACAAGGACGTGCACTGGGTTTTGCATCCCAACAACGCGTCATTAATTTAGCAAAAGGTTCCGGTATATAATCTTCAACATTAGGTCGAAGCCCAAGACAAATATCTAAAGCGAGATAAGTGTCATGTGCACGATCATTGAATGGAGGTAAACATGTTGCTATTTCCCACATAACGATACCAAAACTATAAACATCAGCTGCATAATCATATTTTATTCCGCGTAAAACTTCAGGTGATATATAAGGTAAAACACCATAAACCACATGTTTAGACGTCGTCGAAGTTGATATAACTTTCTTACTCACAGGGCCCGTAAACCCCAAATCTGCTATTTCAGCGTAATTACTTAGCAGGATGTTTCCACTGTGAAAATCCCTATGAACAAAGCCAGCTTGATGAATTTTCTTTAGTCCTTCAGCAACTTGATTTAATATTCCTAACTTGTAAGTCCAATCAAGTTCTCCATAATGTTGTCCCAAATAAGTTTTTAAGCTACCATGATGCGCATGATATAATACAATGATGAAATTTTTCGTAGTTGGATCTTGTGATATACCATAACACCTAATTATACCAAATCCGCCTCCAAATTCTACACATGCTTTAACCTTTTTATAATTGGATATAAAGTTTTTTAAAAAAAAGAGATAATCGAATGATGAATAAGTGAGCGGTAAAAAAAAATTACCTCTTCTAAAGATCCCGAAGCCAAGTCAGAAGAATCATGCAAAATTTTTAATGCAATCCTCCATCTACTTATTCTTTCCCATTTACTCTCTTTATAATTCCATTTTTTAATAAATCCATCCTGCCAAATAGCCGAATAAACTGAAGCGAAACCACCTGTTGCAACAAATTTCAAAATATTAAATTGACTGTATGGTATCCATTCTAATATTTGTCTATTATTAGTAGCACTTAATTGAGTATCTTTAATAAATTTATCAATCAGTTTGTTGCCACTTGTCCAATTACAAAATTGTTGACGAAAACGTTCCGAATTGCATAATTGACACCAATCAATGTGAGTATTCGACCTTTTACATGTTGTACATATTCCAAATTTATTTCTGTTACGTTTTGAAGGAAAGGTTGAGAAATTCTTTGAATTACTACTATTCGAACGTCTACTTTTGTAAGACATTTAAATTAAACATTTTTTTTTGTAAAAAAAAGGGTTAGGTTGGTATTTATAAATTTTATCAAATGGTTTAGGTAATCTAAACAATAACTGCGGCATATGAAGGTATTAAGGGACATTAAAGAAAATAAGAATTGAAAGCTTGATTTCTTTTTATGGCCATTCACACGTTTGAAGTTTGAACTGTGTCATGTTCTATATTTGGATATAAATAATATATACGTAACCAAATCGGGGAATTCTGTATCCAAGCCACAAAAAATTTTGTACGACACCTCCCAATTTTTACGGTTTTTTTCAAATTTTTTTTTTTTGAAAGAGGATAGTTTATCATCATGACCTATCATCTCCAGTTCCTTGCCTCGCAGCTTTTGCTCTTTCTCTAAGCTGTGCAAAAGTTTCCTTGGTAGCAACTTTAATTCTATCAACGACACTATCAATGGAATCCAAGGCTGGTCGCACGTCAAGAAAAAATACCGGATTATCCCCTTCATCAGGTGCCGAATAATAATCGATTACATAACGGACTTCTCTTCCACACCTATCGATCGTCCAATCATGACGATCAAATGGAGGTGGTGTACTAAATTAAAAATGGTTAAGAATGGATTTCAAAAAAAAACTCCTCCGTCAAAAAAAAAAGAAAGTTTACCCTATTGAAGGAAATAATTTTGAAGCCCATTGTAACATTCGAGCTTTTGGGCTTGGTTCTTGAGGCCTTCCTTTGAATCGTAATAATTTGGGTCCATCACAATTGCTTTTTAAAATTAATGAATATTTAATTAAACATTTCATGTTCATTTGAATTCCTAATCATTAGGGTGATTTTTACGTACCATTTTTTCATGTTTTCCCATTTGAGGATTTCATTCCAGGCTCTATCATTTAGAAAGTTATGTATAGAAACCATCATTTCAATACTTTCCTCGGGAGTTTCCCAACCTTTCCTAACTAAAGCACTATAAAATTGTTGAGGGGAAGGATATTCCCAATATTCGGAACCTTTTGCTTTTGGAATTGAAGAAACGATACGATTAGTTGGAAGATGAATTTGCTGTCCAGATACTGGTTCTTGGGAAAGTTGCGGCATTAGATTGTCTGGAGAAAGAGATCCTCCACAACTTGTCTCTTTTGAAGTATCATTATGCGATGATGTTTCACTTTGAAAACTCTGCGCAATTTTTTCATGCATAGGACATCCTGAAGGAATATTACTCGTAGACATTTTTTGATTATCAGAACTTATTTTTTTTTAATAACCGAAAATAAAATAACAAGATAAAAAATTGGGGAGTTAAAAAAATTTTTTTTTTTAAATCATCTACGGTATGGTATGATTGCATGTTACATATGAATTCGGAACTTGCCGTAATCGGATCATTAATTCCGATTTTAATATAATAATATAAAAGTTCTAAAATGCAGATGATCAATTTTTGCATGGAAAAATTAATAAAATGAATAATTCACTACGTAGAATGAGGCTTTCATATTGAACATTACAAGAAAGAAAGGAACAAACAGATCTTTTTTTTTAATTGTTTTCTCTGATTATGCCAAAATTCATTGGACAATTTCAACCGAATTGCAATAATTGCATTTTATTTTATTTTTAAATTGACTATTTTCACTTTTGATTGATAGATGATATTTTATTAACTATAAAATTTCTATAATTCGATAGGTGACAAACATAAATTTTAAAATAATAACAATTATTAATTATAGCATAGGTTAAAAAAGAAAATTATTAATGATAAAACTAATGATAAAACCAATATTCAGAATCATATTCACTATAGTGAAAGGTTCCATTTTTGTAAGTTGTTCCACAGCTTTCATTAGGAGGAGCGACACCATTACGTGTATTTACGCGGAGTAAATAAGTAATATCATGGAAAGCACCATAGTCACCATAGTTGGCCTGAAAAGATATAAAATAAGATTGGTCAATAGATGAATTACGTCTTTCATAAAAGTAATAATACTAGGTAGTTACCGTTGCTTCAGTTAATAACCATGGAATGTTCTTCGTTGGATCGTTAGGAGCTTCATTTGTAGCCAATACTTTGGTTGTGACTCCTGATTCATCACCTGGTATTATTGATACCCAAGTTGCAATTCCTTCATTGATTGCTAAGTAATCATCACGAAAAAATATTATTATTATTCTGATTCGTTTTTATTCAAGAGAATATAACGCTGATTAAAACAAATATACATACGTTCTTCTAAGAAAAAATGATGAGAAACTTGATAATTTGGAGTGAATGTTTCGGTTTCTTCATTAATCAAATATGCGTCAGGTGTAGCTAGATATTTTCGAGTCGAGAATTTTTAGTATTACACGTGACGTAATGCTGGTAATCATTAATAATTCTTCTATATTACCTAATATCCAAGTTCCAACATGATCTTTATCTACCTTACAATTATAAATTTGATAACCACGTGCGTATAACAAGAATTTAAATTTATCATCATGAGGAATTGTAAGATTCTTTGGTAAATCAAGCTTTGGTTGCTCTATTTACATAAATTAAAACGGAAAATTTGGTTTCTTACTTTCCTTTTTTTTTTCTTCTGAAATAATTAATTAAAAAAAATTTTTTTAAAAAAAAGTTCCTTTACTTACCAGTTTTTGTACCAATCACAGTTGATAAAAGAACATTTTTATCATAATCAAACTGCTGTTCTCTATCTGCCTTAACAAATGATACGAAACATAAGGATGCTAAAGTGAATATGAGTAATAATGAGATTTTTATGGTCATTTTCATCATTTACGTTACGAATATATATAAACAATATATACAGTATATTTATATTTATAAAATGGATCAAAGCAAAGATTTTTTTTTTTTTTTTGCAAATTTTGGGAATCAATTCTCTCTGTATTTATAAAAAAAAAAAAGGGATATTAAGACAAATTTCAATTCTTTACATTCAGGTTGTGAAAATATGTGGCTTCGTCACACCATCTTACTATGTATGCCGTTTTTATTGATGAAAGTAAACTCAATCGAAACAATTAGTAAATATTAATTCACATTGTATTATTTGTATTAGTAATCTTTCAAGGTTCATTTATTTTGTGGACCGAATTCAATTCAACTTTAACTGAAAATTCATGATATTATTTTACCGGGATAAAAATAGGAATATTTGGATATTTGTGACTCGCTATTTACAAAATAACATACCATATCGAGAAGAATCTGAAATCAAGTTTTTGATTGGTGAAATTTATTAAAGATCAACATTTTATTTCAAATTTTTGGTAGCTTATTTATCAAACTTGTATAAGCTAAATAATGAGCCTAATTTATTATTTATCACAATCGCTATAAAGATATGAGTTTCTTATCAGAATTAAGAAAAATATTGAATCAAAAGAAAAATTCAAATTATTCTAAAAAAAAAATAATATATATTTTTCATAATTTTCATGTGCTGAAGGAGTCCATTTTTAGTTTTTAGTATGGATACGATAAAGGCTCCAATTTCTATAATATGTCCATAATTATTTAATTAGTAAAAATTTGTTGACAAATAAAAAAGAATTGTATGCTTTTATCAATCATTAATTTTAAAGCATAGCTTTTGTAATAACAAGCAATTAAGTATATTAAGTATTGTACTACGCTAAAGTGCTAAAGTGAGTTATTTAATCAATTTACTAAACAAGGACATTTTAATAAAAATACCGTGTATATTATTTATATACTTGCGATTTTTTTTTTTTTTTTTTTAGGAAGTAACGCTTTTCGACTACGATGGATTAAATTTGCACACAGGTCAATCTTTATTTATTAAATAAATATCCAATTTTGAAATGTCGCGACGTTTTCAAGTTACAGTAATGTAAGTTTAACCTAAATCCAAATCTTGACTGTTGTATTGAATTTGAAATTCGTATGCCCAAAATAATAAAGCAAGTATTCGCTTTCGGTAAAGCTTTGGCTAGCTCTTTTTAATATATATATTTATTTATTTTTGATATTAATTGAGCACCATAGATTGAATTGACAATATCATCGGGACACTATCTTTAGAATCAAATTTTATGCCAGCTTCATTTTAGTTCGATTGCAAACATAAACGGTTCGATTCGGGTATACGGTCCGAATTGAGTTCGTTTGCAACTGTCAGTTGGTCACGTGAACAGATTCATAAATCTTAATAAACAGAATTTCAAGGTGCTTAATAAGCACTGCAGTTGAATTGTGAAATGTGTAAGGAAGGGTCTTGTTTATTTATTTATTTTATTTATTCATTGTTACTATCAAACTATATCTATCATTTCGAAATAATTCAAGTTTTACCATTAATAGTAAAATCGGTCGGTTTCAATCGGTTTAATCTAAAATTTGGACCTGGATTTATTCGAAACCGGTTAGAACCGAAATTAAAAACCCGAATGTTATAACCGGTTCCAACCCTCATATGGAACAAGGTAACTTAATTAGAGTACACGTTTTTAAGAACATTTCGATAATAAAGTTTTAAAAATACGCGAGAAGGTTTTTATTTTTTTTTAAAAAAACCCTTCACATGTATTTCATATTATTTCGCGTATACCAGAAGATTTTTTTAAGTTTGTATTACGTTATGATCTATCAATAATTTGAGTTTCTCTAAAATGTCTATCAAGAAATATACCGAATTCAATGTCTATCAAGAACAAGTCTATCAAGATCAATACTTTTGCACAAGATACGGCTGTTTCGAAGCCTCAAAACTTTTATTAATAGTTATGGACTTTCCAAATCTGCATTAATACAATTTTAGGTTTTTCGCAACTTCATTCAATTCTACAGTTCATCTCAAAATTCTACCGATTTTAACTCAATTTTCACATTTCGCACTTCTTTATAAATATATTTTTGAGTTTTCAGAAGGTTAAACAAAATAATAATAAAAAAAAGATGTTAAATAATTGTAATAGTATCATTACCCGATTGCTTCCGGCTTTTCTGATTTCGTTGTCGCTAGTAAAAACTCGTTGTTCTCTGAATAAAGAAGATTGGCCATTAGTATAATAATCTTATATTTTGATATTATCGAATATACGATTACATTGTAGTGTAACTACAAAATATGTATTTATAATGACAGTAAACGCTCTTTGATTCATTCGCCTTCTCCAAAAAAAGCAGAATCACATCAATAAGCTTCAAATAAGGAAAAATGATTAACTGCAGTTCAATAAAAAGATTCGATCACTCGACCAGTTAATATTCCTTAAAAAGTACAGAAGCTCATGTTCATCATGTCTTATTGTTGCCAGTATAAATCTGTGTACCTTCCCGTTAAAAAATATTTACACGTGTATATATTTTCTCTAAAAATCAATATATAAAAAGAAACCATCTCTCCTTTTTTTTAAAATGGAACGAAGCTATGTTGTTTTTACACTTGGAATAAAATTTTTTTTGTCAAGTTTTTTTTTAAATAAAATGTTTTTGACCATAACGCAACTACGCGATAATAAAAATCTTAAAATTCTGCAGTAGCCGCAGTACTTAAATCATAAAAGTAAGTTTCATACCCATGCGTACACTTAATGCGTCAATTGTTCTTGGAGATTCTAGACGTCCTTGAATTAATACCCATGTGTAATCGGAACACATGCGTCACTGAACGATTTAGAGTTTCTCGTTTCTCTAATCAACAAAAAACTTTTTTTAAATTTAGGTTTTTCTTCGTCAGAAGGGCGTCTAACGAACCGTTTATTTGGATTAATCCAAATAAAAAAAGTTGATCCGTGTTTGTTTTTTTTTCGTGAAAGGCTCATTTTCACGGAAATGTTACGTAAGCCACGGAGAAAAAATGGAATATTCGGGCGAAAATTTTTTATAGGGATTGGATTATCGTTTGGTAAGTTTCATATACTTAATGCGTCAATTTTTCTTGGAGATTCTAGACGTATACCCGTAATCGGAATACATGCGTACCTGAACGATTTAGAGTTTCTCCTTTCTCTAACCAAAAAAATTTTCTTTTAGAATTTAGGTTTTTCTCCTTAATTGGAAGGACGAGTAAAAATATTATTATTAAACTCAAATAATGAAACTACAATAATTAGAAATCACGAACTTTATTTTTTAGCTTTACTTTTAGAAATTCAAACGTATTTCTTAAAAATTAAAAACTTGAAAGAAAGCTTTTGTTCGTCAATGATGATTTAAAAATCAATTTCAAGTCAAAATCAAATTTAAATTACATAATTAACAAATTGAAAATTTTGTCTCGTTTTCATCGCAAAAATGCTTCTATTGGTCTAGCTTGCTTGATCACTTTCCAATAAATATATACAGAACCTTTGCGTTAATTTCTTTGGATATATGGTCCAAATTGATCAAAGAACTCATCGTTTAAATTTTGTTCATAAAAATATTTTTAAGAAATAAACACAAGAGCACCAGACTATGTATTTGATATTTTCATTGACGATATAAAAACTTGGCGAATTTATTGACAAGAAAATTCTTCATTAGAATCGTTCTCTTATGAACTTAAATTACTTTTTGATTCGTTGTCAATTTAATCGTTGTAAGGTTACATTGAATATTTAAAGTTAATTTCAATTGAAATTTGAAATACTAAATCATAACTTTCTAGAGTTTCAACACTAAAAGGTGTAAGCTATATAGAATAGTCTTTCTTTCGACAATTTGAATAAATTAAAAAAATAATAAATTTTTTTTTTTTTAAGAAAAGTATATAAAATAAAACAAACTTTCTACTAAATCTATATGACTATATTAAATGATTTTTGATTTTTGATATTTTTTAAAAAAAAACACGCTCGAACATTTGACGTTAAATTTAGCCAACCCGTTACCAATACAATTAAATTAGTCAACCCAGTAGAAATTACTGCAACAAATCATTCAATTTTTTTTTTGTTTGACAAAATGTACATATGTATGTAACTGATTCATCAACATCTCAAATGACGTTCCCAGCTAAAAATAGCTCAAAAAAGTAAATCATTGTGTAGAACAGAACATAGGACCTACCAGAAATATTTCTTTTAAAAGAATCTGTTCTTGTAAAGGATTTTAGGATATTCCTTTCTGGAAATCGATTATCTTCTAATTTAGTAAATTATAAAAAATTTTTTCTCTTAATTTTAGTAAAAACATACGTATGATATAGAAATAAATTTATTTACTTTATATACTAATTAAGTTAAGACGGAAATATTACTTTATCCAATTAGAAAATAAATAAAGACATATATACAGTATATATTTCTAATTCGATTACTTATAATGAACTTTCTAAAAACAAAAAAAATTTCTTACATAATAATTATACACAATGTGAAAAAAAAAAGGAGAAATGGGGAACTTGCTCATTTTTTTGAAAAACTTGAATACATGCAAGTTTATTCTTGGACATCCATAAATGTAAATGATCTAAAATTAAAAAACTGGATTTCTTATTAAATGTTTATTTACTTCCAGATCTGAACTTTAAATTAAATGAAATTCTATTGTGTTTGCTAATTTTTGATTTAAAAGATTTAAAAGATTAATTAATTCAGTTATTGCCGACAACGAAGTATTATTCCAAACCATTATACATTCTTAAATGGGAATTCATTAAACATTCATTAACTATCTCATTGTGAAAATAATTCATTCCTAAAAAAGAAAATCTTCTAAAAAAAATATGTAGATATTATTAATCATCCAATTATATTTTATACTTTGGAATTTTTGTAAAAAAAAATTAAAAATAAAAAAAAGGTAACTGAAAAAAAAGAATATTTTCGCTTATATATAAAAGCCGTACGAGTTCATTCTCCCTTTCTCATTCCTCTTTTCATCATTCCAAAACAAGAGTACCAAAATTTTACGATGGCATTCACAAAATCCTCGATGTTGTTCTTATTCACTTTATTTATATCATCATCCTTCATTGATGCGTTACCATTGTTCAAACGTGATCAATGTCCAATAGGAATCTATCAAGGCACCCTTCTTTATATTTGTATAATTCTCGATGTTTAATAACTGACAAATAAATTCACCAATGATTTTAAATTATATAGATCCTTCAGAACTGTTTATACCACAAGGTATCATTGTACCAGTCGGTAATAAATATAAATTCTCACTATATGGTTTTGGTGTGCAAATGTACAAATGTAATAGCGTCTCTCGTACCTGGGATTTTGGTAGGTTGATCTCACATCGCCGCCGTCTTTATTTTAAAGTCATAATTAATTTTATTTTCATTTGTAGTTGGACCTGAAGCTAATATTTACAATAAAAAGGTACTAAAGGATCCTGAAGACGCCTCCGATTATTTGGTTGGCAATCATTTCTTTCAAAAAGAACGTATGTAAAATTTTAGGTGATTTGTATCGTCTGAAAAAATATATACATCTATTTTAATACATCTATTTTAATGAAAAAAAAAATTAGCTGTTAACGGAGGTAGAGTTACTTGGGAATCCACAATCGATTGTGATGACTCATCTTTAATTTCGAACCTTTTAACCCAAATCCCATCTCCCGATGGACCCAAAAACCTTCCGTGGCTTTTATTGATAGCTACGGCTCATAATGGAGATGGCGTCTTTAGTGACGTCACCTTTACAATTCGCATAAATACCAAACAAGGTATAGCTCCCCCAGTGGATGAATGTAAGTGATATGTATTTATTTCTTTTAATAGTAATAATAACAAATAATAAATAACAAGTAACATATAATAACAATGACAGGCGGTAACAATTATCAAGATGGGGATATTTACCGAAGCGAATATTCAACCAGATACTTATTCTACAATTTGGATCAATAACTTTTACTTTCAAATTTATATATATGTATATTTATTGTAAATATATAATTTGATAGATTATTTATTTATTTATTTTATCTGTAATATATTAACATATTTTTATCAAAATCAAAATGTCTTTTAATAAAATATACTTCATATTGTAATATGTTGATGACTTTTTTTTTTTTTTTTGCAAAACGCATAAAGAAGTGCATGATTTGATAAAGTATTTTAGGTTACATATGAAGGTTTCACTGATGAAAAAGTTTAATAATCGATAAAACGAGAAATGTCTTACTGATTCAGTTCTTCCCCCCCCCCCCCCCCCAAGGGATACTTCGTGCAGGGGCTTACATTAGAATTTAAGATTTGAAATATGCTTAATGGAGGAAAACAAAAATAAATAAAATAAAGCAATTCATTTATTTAAACTTTCCTTAATGATATGCAGGATAATATGTAATTAATTCTTGATTAATTCTTTGATCGCGCTTGTCTCACACTCTCACACTCTCACACTCACGTTCATTTATTACGCATGGTTTCCTAATTAATATTTCTCTATAAAATGGATCAAATTTCACAAATCAAGTCGGAAAAAAATATCCATCAAATCAACTTTCTACCCTTTTTTATATGAATAAGAAACTCTATTCATTTTTAATCATGTTCATTATGAATTCAAGTATTAAAACGCGTTTACAGGATTCATTCCTTGCTATTCGTTCTTACTCAAAACCACATGAATACTTCTACACCACCTTTTCACGATCCACCGCATCCGAAATTTCAATTCCATCTCAAACTACCGCTAATCAAGGAGTTACGGAATTATTCAATAAACGCATTATTATTTTCGGGTCAATCTCTTGCGCTGTAATCGTATTAATCGCTCTAATCTCATTCCTAATCGTTTGTATGCTCGGTCGTAAATCACGATCAAGACCTTCGACTACCTTTTCGCCTTCCAATCATGACGTTGATGTCTCTGTGAGACAAAGAAACATTGATTCGTTAAATAATCCAAGATTGAAACCATTGTATTTATTACAGACACATAAGCTTAAACCATTACATTTGGTGATAAAACATCGAGATACACTTGACAAGAAGGAAAAGTTGAGGATTGCAAATCAACAAGAAGGCATCATTCAGAAGAATAATTTTCAACAAAAATTTGATACTCGTCAACAGGATGGCTTAATTCAACAATATTCGCGTCAACGAGAGAATAATCTTTTAGAAAATATTCATGGTCAAGGGATGAAGGATGAAAGAAATATTCGAGAGAAACTCAACAACCTAGTCAAAATAATAGAACGTCAAGTTGATGAAATTGTAATTTCGAAATTGAATAGTGATGATTTAAATGAAAAGATTGATGTTGAAAGAAAAGGTAAAAATGTTGAAATTTTTGAAGGAAATGATTCTTCAATTGATGATGATATTTATGAAGATTTGACCATTTATGATATTATTGAAATGTTTAAAACGTTAAATGGAGATTACAATTATGTTAATTATATAAACGAGTGACTTTAATCTAATATGTATTACAAAATCTCATGAAGTAATGATGTTTCACGAAATTTGATTTACACTTATAATTCACAAATTAGTTAACAATTAGTTGCTATATTTGAAAATCATTTACCCTTATTAATAACAATTATAAAGATCGAAATTTTGAATTTATTTGATACACATCGGTATTCTTTAAGTTGGATCCCTTTTATCAAAATATAAATGGATACACATGATACACGTTTTCCTCTTTTATAAGTTACAGTTTCCATGTTTCATTATGGTCCCCGATGTAGGTTGGTGACAAATTGAGATAAAACAGATAAAGGAATTGGCGTCTTGCTGCTATGATTAGGATGTTGTACCATATTTTTATTTCTCAAAAGGGTTGAATGAAAAGTTTTAAAAACTATTTAAAAAAAGGAAAATGTTGATTTCTGTACTTTAAAACAAAAAAATAATTCTTTTTTTTTTTTTTTAAAAAAAAATAAAAAATAAAAATATATTTTTATATATATTTATTAATTTATAATCAGTTATGGGTTGTAAAATTAGCAAAAATTTATATTCAAATTATAAAATTGCAAAGGACGAAGCGGATTATTCAAGAAATGTAGCAATGAAATTAGACAAAACCTTCTCTTCACCACAACGAGGTCATGATATATTTGAGAAAATACCTTTTGAAGTGATGAAACTACAGAAATTATCAAGCGATGAGAATTGGATACCTTATAATCAATTCGATCATATCTCTTATCATTCAAAAGATTCGGTTGATGAATCTTTAAATTATTTTGCCATTTGGAAAAATGGGAAAACTATCGAATTTAAGAATTGGAACGTTGATTGGAGGGTATTATTGAAAGAGATAACTCACTCTTCTCGTATGACCCAATACGAATTAAAATTGGTAAATTAAAAAAAGAAATATATATATTTTTTTTTGTTAAATATATTAAATTTATTAATTCTGGGGGATTTTATTTTGATCGCTATTAGATGATTGCAGAACTCGAATTTAATCATAAAATTGAAATATTTGGGATTTCACAAAATCCAAAAACATTAAATTATGTTATAGTAATGGATCATTTTTCTGGACAGCTTGGAAATTGATAATGTCATTGTAACCGGGTTTAAATACTTTATAAAACTTTTTATGTGGTTGTAAATGAATTTTTTTATTTAATTAAAAAATCGTTGTTTTAAATACATTTGAAACTTTTTTTTACAATTTTTGTTGTTGGAATTGTGATCTTTGTAAACGGCTGAATTGGAAATTTTTGTTTAAAACATTTGTCAAGACCATTAACAACAGTCAGACAATTAATTTATTCTTGGAGATCTGCGACAGTGTCAGTACATAAATTTGATTTTTTTTTTCTTTTTTTTTTAAAAAAAAAAGATTTCTTAACGAACAAAAAATGAGAAATCTAAAATTTCAAAAAATTCAAAATTTTGAAATTTTGAATTAAAATCGATATTTAATTTGCTTATTCTCAATCCTTATTATATTAAAGTTGAAGCTCATCATAATTAAAAGATTTAAACAAGGCAAGCTTTTATCATTTTATCAATACCCTTTAGTATATTATATATATGATGAATAATGAATCAATCTCCCTTTTCAAGTGATAAATTAAATAATATGACACAGAGACTCAATAAATCTTACTCACATTCTACTTAGCCAAAACAAATAAGCCCTTTTGGATTATTAAACAGATATTTAAGAACATCAATTTCCATCCTTTTTTCGCATTTTATTTTAAATCATTTTCCCTTTTACTTAAAAGCCGCAGCACCGATGGAAAAATCAGGAATGAATATCCGCGTTCGAACCAATTTCTTTGAAGTAACCAAACTTCCTGAAGCAAACATTATCCACTATGATATTACTATTTCCCCAGATGTATCTCCTATCCTTAACAGAAAAGTTTTTCAAGAACTTGAACGTTTTGCATTTGACGCTGTCAAGCCTGTTTTTGATGGTATCTAATCATCGGGCCTGTTAACAATAATGGCCGAATTAGACTAATCATTTTATTATTTGTCATGTTAGGACGTAAAAATATGTTCACTTCTAAACCGTTACCATCAGGAGACTCCGCTACATTTGAGGTGAATTTTTTTTTTCCTTCTTGTTTCCTCCTCCATTTTTTTATTTTTAGATTAACAACTTTGACTAATCTTAGGTCACCCTAACGGATGACGCCAGAGCTACTACGTCAAAACGTCAGTCCAAACCCTTCAAGATCAAAATTAGGAAGGTCAGCGAGATTAACATGGAAGAACTCTCTATGTTCCTTAATAGAAGATGTTCATTAACCACAAATTGCTTGACGGGTAAATAATAATAATGTCATTCATTAACCAATCTATTAGAATTAAAGTTTATTTATTAATTAATTATATTACAAAAAAAAATAGCTATTATGGCTCTTGACGTTTTAATCAGACACCGTCCGTCAATGATGCATGAAACTGTTGGTCGTTCGTTTTACACACCCCAAGGATCTCAATCACTGCAAGGAGGTGCTGAAGTTTGGCAAGGATATTATCAATCCGCACGTCCTACTCCTGGTAGAATCATGATGAATCTTGATGTGAGTGCAACAGCATTTTATGAATCAGGGCAATTAGTTAACATAGTTGCAAAGATTCTTGGCCGACGAACTCCTGAAGATCTACGTCGAGGGTTAAATGTGAAGGATCATTTCACTATTGAAAAAGTTTTAAAGAATGTGAGAATTAACGTCATTCATCGTGGCGATGCTGTTGCTAGACGTCGATTCAAAATCGACCAAATTACTCCAAAATCCGCTTTAGAAACAACCTTTGATAGTGAAGATACTATTACAAATGTGGCAGAATATTTTCAACAACGATATAATAAACGACTTAATTATCCATTCCTTCCATGTGTCGTGGTCGCAAAAAAAGTCTATCTTCCGATGGAAGTCTGTGAAATAATTAAAGTAAAGTCATTTTATTTCTTTTAAAAACATGGATAATAAATAGTCTATTTCATCTGAATTATAATCATTTTATTGATAAAATAATAACAAAGGGGCAGCGTTATATCCGCAAGCTTAATGGAAAACAAACAGCCGATATGATAAAGTTCACTTGTCAACCGCCTCACATTCGTGCTAATAAAATTAAGCAAGGCTTTGAATTGCTAAATTATCGTAACAATGAATATCTCCAAAATTTTGGAATGAATATTGGCAATGAAATGGCTATAGTTCGTAATCACAAAGAATTTAATTATTTTTTCTTTTTTTTTTTATTGTATAATAATTTTTCATTTTCATTTTTTTTTTTTTAAAAAAAAAAAACTTTTTAGGTTCCAGCGCGTGTGCTCCCAGTGCCCACTTTACAATATCACCCGTCCTCTCGCGAAGCTGATTTCCAACCACGTGATGGTGTATGGAATTTAAGAGATAAAAAGGTAGCCACAGGAGCTACCCTTGGTTCATGGTCTGTCGTCGCATTTGGCACAGAACAAGAGTACCCTACAGATAATGTTAGAAGATTTGTTCGTCAACTTGTCATCACTTGCATAGAAACTGGCATGGTATATCGTTAATGCGAAAATTTATTGTTTTTTAATACATGACACGTAACTTGTTTAAAGTTTTAATTATAAATAATGAATTAGAATATTCCAAATACGACACCACCCGTTTTGCATGCTAATCCACAAGGCGACATCGAACAAGCACTGAAGCAAGCATGGATATACGCTGGGAACTCGGCCAAAGCTCAGCCTCAATTAATTTTATGCGTCTTGCCCAACATCGGAGTTCCGCTATATGCTGAAATTAAACGTGTCACCGATACTGTAATTGGAGTTTCAAGTCAATGCGTGCAAAGCCGACATATGATTTCGGCCAAGAAACAATATTGTGCAAATGTCTGCTTAAAGATTAACGTCAAATTAGGAGGAATGAATACTTTTATCAATCCAAGTCAAATCCCTTTCATAGCTATCAAACCAACAATTGTAATGGGAGCCGACGTGGCTCATCCTGGTCCCGGTAGGTTCATATAAATCTAATTTCTTTTGTTAATTTAATATATTTTTATTTTTATTTTTAAAAAATTTCAAATTATAGGTGATGCTAAGCATCCATCAATTGCAGTCGTTTGCGGATCTATGGATGCCAAGGCATCCAGATATTCCGCTACAATTCGTATACAAACAGGTAGAAATGAAATGATTGCCGATTTGGCTAATATGGCAAAAGAACTTTTGAAATTATTCTATCAAACTTGTGGAAGGAAGCCTGAAAGAATTCTTTTCTACCGCGATGGGGTATCTGAAGGCCAATTCAATCAGGTTCTTGAAATTGAAGTCGCGGCTGTTAAAGGTAGTGATTTATAAGATTATTTACATTGTTATATTATTAAATTATTAAGTAAGGTTCATGTTGATGTTATGATTAGCTGCTTGTGCTTCTCTTGATCCTAATTATAAGCCGACTTTAACATTCATTGTTGTACAAAAACGACATCACACCCGCTTCTTTCCTATGGATAAGCGTGAAGCTGATCGTACTGGTAATTGCCTTCCCGGCACGGTTGTAGAATCAGGAATTACTCGCCCGTTTGATTTTAATTTTTGTAAATTACTTGTAATTTCTTTTTCTTTTTTACTTTATATTTATATACTTTATTCAAAGACTTTTTTTTATCATAAAATATATTGTTAGATTTGCAAAGTCATGCTGGATTACAAGGAACCTCACGACCCACACATTATTCTGTTTTGCACGATGAAAATGATTTTACTCCCAAAGGGTTAGTTTTTTTTTTTTTTTTTTTTTTTAAAAAAAAAAATAAATAAATGATTTTTATTCAATTTTTAATTGAGTTTTTATTTGGATTTTTACTTCAGCATCCAAGAACTCTCTTATAATCTGTGCTATGTTTATGCGCGTGCAACTCGCTCAGTATCTGTAGTACGTTAAAATCTCAATATTTCTAAGCAAATTTTGACATTATATATTAATACCTTTTATGTTTGAATTATTCTATTAGATCACTCCCGTATATTATGCGCACATAGTATGCAAACGTGCAAGATTTCATTCCAAAGATTCTTGGAGCGATACAGAAGAATCAGAGAAAGGATCCGATACTTCATCGATCTTTGGAGTTGTGAAGCAAGACTTACAACGGGTTTGCTATATTACTATAAATTTTATTTTTTTTTTCTCATATTTTTTATTATTTATTCAATTTTTTTTTTATCTATTTAAGGTTATGTACTTTATTTAAACGAATGGATGTTAAATAGAATACATCTTATTGATTCGCTTACACTTGGACAACGTCCTCTTTTTTTTCTCATTTTTTTTTGTTGTATTATGTTATATAATAATTCACTTACGCTATAATAAATCCAGGATCATTTTATTTTAATGGCAATGCAAATATTATAATTAACTTAAGATATCATTATGCGATGAGATACAGTAGATATATTTTTTAAAATCTATTTTGATTAAAAAAAAAAAAAAATTAACACGGAACATCAATTATTCGATTACTTTTTTCCTTCTTTTTTTATATTTTAGTGTGATAATTACTAATTTTTTAATTATTTAAATTAAAAGGTATTAAAATAATGGAAAAAATTTATTTCCGAGGTAGACACGGAGCGGAAAATTCTGGGTAAGATGGTAGATCAGATAACACCAACACCCACGTGAACAACTTGTCGATAATCCTTAAAAATAAAGAATAAAACTTTGGGCGCAAATGTTATATATTTTTAAACTTATTTATATGTGTACTTTTGTCCGATCTACAAGTTTGCTTAGACAATCAAAGTAGGTTTTGAACATGGATTTTGACTTTTAATATGATGGTTTCAAAATAATTAATTTTACAAAAATCAGCATTTAAAGGCTACTTTTATTCTCTAAGTAAACTTGCAGAGCAAATAAAATTAGATATAAAGCATGAGTTTTAATATTAGATAACGTTTGTAATAAGTTTTTATTAATAAAACAAAAAAATATTTTTTTTCTCTCTAAATTTTGATTATCATATTTGGAAATGATCTGCAATTTTAGTCACGTGGGTGAAAAAGTGTGGGAAAGATACCAGTATCATGTGATTAAAATAAAAAAACGTTCTCCAAGAAATGAATAATTTAACTTATATAACATAAAACCCATTTATATGAATATTTTACAAGAAAGATTATTTGAAAAAGTTTAATATCATGAACGAATAGATAAAGGAAAACTTTTGTGATCAGCAAATCATAATTATAAAAGTAGTAAATAAATAAGAAGAAATATATAATATAAAGTAAGAAAATTATATAATAAGTAAACTATAAAAGAGAGAAATTACTAGTAATATTTTCAAATTTTACTGAATGTTTCCTATTTTATACAAAATACAAATAACTTATTATAATTTTTTATCTAATAATTATATATTTATACAAATTTATTATGATTTATTAATTAAATCCTTCTTCTATTTCTTATTATATTATATTTCTAAGAATTTTTAAATCTTATTATATTACAAATTTATTACATTTTAAAGTAACTGAAGTTGAAAACCAATTTCATATTCTTGTAAAGCTCTAAAAAGTTGATTATAAATCATTAGATAAAATCATATTCTGAAATATTAATACTTTTTAGATTAGCTTTGAAAGTATTATAAAAGGATATATCTATATTAATCATCAGTAAGCTAAATTTAATTTATACTTTTCTTATATTTTATTCTATTTCTTATCTTATATATTTAAAGTTAGACTTCTATTCAACCTGTATGATATATTTCAATATTCAAATCATCATTATAATTTGAATTATTTATATCAACTTAGGTTATTAGAGAAATAGACTTTTACTTTATTATATATAATTATGATATGATGTATCTTGACATATTAAATTATATATGAATTTATAAGATATGATGAATTAATGTGACTTTTGAAAAAGTAAAAATCTGCATTCTTAACTTATAATAAAATTGTAATAAAACTATCATAGTAAATACTGAAACTGAAAAAATTATGATAAAACTATATTAAACTCTTATTAAAGTCACTAGTCGAATAATAATAAATAAAAAACCAATTGGATCAAATCTGGATTATCAGATTTGATCTGATTGCTTCCCTATTTTTTTTGGAATTAAGTGATCCAGATTGATGATGAATAATGACACAGATAGGATATAATAGGGTTTTAATCAAAACGTTATAAAGATATCAATAAGGTTATTCTTATTGATATTAATTTATTAATATCTAGCTTTCAATCAAATTATCCCTAAGTCATCAATAAGGATATTTTTATTTTTTTTTAAATGTGTGGTAGTTTCATTGAATTCTTATTGAAATAATAAATTTATACAGAAGTACAAAAACAGATACACAAAATAATGAAATTTCTATTTAATCTAATTTATACAATAGAATAATAAAAGTCAAACTAAATCAAAACTGACCTTACATATCCTCTAAAGATAGTTCACATAATTATTTTTAAAATTTTTAACTAGTTACAACTATTTATAAATTTTTATATTAAAATAAATTTACAAGAAGTTGCAATCAAGTTGTAACTTTTAATTATAGTGCCTATCTTTAATATTCTCAAACTAATTACCTATAATACAAATAACCTTACCAGTCTAAAAGGAAGCCTGATCACTACCAATTCAAAAATTTAACCAGGAGATACCGTAAAGGAAAGTGTCTTTAAAATGTTATGAAATATCTGCAGAATAGTTATTTGATAATTTCACAAATTCTGATGAATACTAATTGATTTTCTTTTTAGCGAATGTAATATTATGAGTATTTTCATAGGACTTAAATAATAGACATCTCTTTTTTTATATCTTGTAAACAAGTTCATAGGTATAGTGATAAGTAAGCGAAAGTACGTATTAGTGAGATAGGAAGATTTGATAAGTGTATTAACTTTATTATACAGAGAAATAGGAATAATGCTTTTGATCATATCAATAAATGTGTATTGTAATTTGTAAGATAAACATCCCAATGTTATCAATTAGTAAAGGTCTAAAATCAGTTGTAAGAAGATTATTTGTATCAATTGCTTGTTGTATCATAGTGAACAAGAGTTGATGTAATGAGATGCTTACATTATATACTATTTGTCGAAAAGTAGGACAAAGTCAGATATGTTTGAAGTCTTTATCAATAATATTACAAGACAAATAAAGTTAATTTTGGAATTAGAGATTGGGAACTCATTTTTTGAGAATATCAAGAATAGAAAGCATTTCCAATAATAATTTAAGCTTTTGTTTCTTTAAATATGAAGCTTAAAAAAAGATTGAAAACATTGTTAATAATAGTTTTATTATGACGCATAATATTGCATCAAACATAATTAACGAATGGTAATCTTGACAATCACAATTCTCAACTTTCTACTATTTTTCTGATTTCTCTAATTTAACTAATTTTTTAGCAATTTCTAATTTCATACATTTTTCTAATATATTTAATTTTTTTATTTTATTATATTTCTTATATTTCTTTATTATCTTAAATATCTATTTCATATTGATGTATTTTATGTAAATATTTTGTATTTCTACCTCAATAAATGATAGAGTCATTACCAATTCTCTAATAAATCATAACATTTATCTCTAAAATTCAATTTAATTATTCGTATTTATTTCTTTCATAGTTTAGATGCACTTAAACTAACTGCTAGCAAATAATCTTTGTTAACTAAATGATAAACAGTTTAAGCTTAACAACATATTTTTATTGTCATTAAGTATAAAATATGTGGCAGTTCAGTAAATTGATTGCTTTTTATATTTGGTGAAGTGAGGTAAGTTGACAAAGCTACTAAATCAAAGAAATCTAAAAGTATTTTTAAAAAAGTATCTTGATGAAATGTTTATAGGGATATAATAATAGCACAATACATTATAGCTTTCTAGAGTATTAAGGTTATAGGAGAGAGAATTAGTTGTAAAAGCATTTTTGGCTAGAGTTTCTGTATAATTATTATAAGGATCATCACTGTGAGGTATCACTTTAATAAGGCTTAAATTAACATTTTTTAAAGAAATGACTTTAAATAGAGCATATTAAAGAGTATGATCATCAATTTTAAATGTCAGATTGTAAATCAGAAATGTCATCAGAATATATTTAAAGTGATTGTAATTGTGAATAGTAACCATAGAATCTGTATATATTAATATGTCAGAGTTATTAGAAAATGTGACTATAGCTGTGAGGATAGCAGTTAATTTTATTAATGACATGCTAGGCAAAGAAGCATTGATTATAGTATGGAAGGATACTAGAGGATTATTTGAATTGATAAGAATCCAGACCATTTCCATTCAGCTGAAGATGTTTTTAATTTAGCTGCTGAGCCATCAGTATAGAATTGAAGTTAAGAGAAATTAGTAAAATAATGTATAATATGAGATAGTAAATTCATAGAAGAAGAATCAAAAATATTAATGGAATCAAGGTAGTCCATCTGGATCTATAGAGCCATGAAATGCAGTAAGAGCAAGACCAAATAATATAAAAGGAGATAGTTCACATTGATAATCCTAATTACAGATTGGATTAATTTTAATTTTAACATATTTTGATTTTTCAAAAAAGAATAAATAACAGTTTTTCATTTTTTTGTTATAAAAATTACATTCTATATAAAAATTAATTTAGTGGTAAAATCAGTAGATGTATAAGTCGTGTAATAGTGAAGTATAAGATATTAATTATGAAAGCTTTTAATTCTTTCTATCACTGCAATGTTGGATATTGAATTCCAATATATAATGTAATTATTTCTCTTATAAGTACAATCTTTTATATGGTAAAAATGAGTTCGTTAGGATGTGGTAATTGTATAAAGTCAGTAGAAATCTTGAGTGAATATTAACATTAAAAGATGTCTCTAGGTATGTAACAGTGAGAGGTATAGATAGGTATACGTCAATTATTATAAATTTTTGTATCTGCATTAAAGATGAAGAATGTAACCCAAAAAAAGCAATTAATAAATAGCCGAAATGATATTAAAATATAGTGAGAGATATGATGAAATCCTGAAATCTGAAATTAACTGAAACTATATTAAAAATATAGTAAGGGATATGACGAAATTATTTTGAGAGAGTTTCAGTAAGCATCTTTAATTTGCATAGGTAAAGAAGGTAAGGATATTAAATAAGATAAGTTGTTTACAGTACATCAAGTTCTTAGCTTAAAAGACTTTAGTTATTTC